GGCCTTCCACTCGTCCCGCGCGGCCTTTAAGTCTTTCCCTCCCATCTGCGCAGCCGCGAGACATTTCTGCAATGGCTCTATCTTCTTCGTCGCTCCCTGTACATACTCATGATCGCGCTCGTCGACGACACTGGTGATGAACTCGGCATGATCCGTGTCGCAGCGGCACAACAGTAGCGTCTCCGCGCCCATGACATCGAATTGCATCCGCACAGCTGTCAAACGATCCAGGTATTCTTGAGTCGGTACAATTGTCCGCCCTTGGCCGACTGTAAACTTCTTCATCCCGATTGCAAGGTCGTCAATGTGTATCATCGCTACACCAGCGTCCACGAACTCGCGCGCCATCTTCATCGTGCTAGTCAGGCTACCGAAGCCCATATCGCCATCCGCGACGATTGGCGCCATGTAGTCCCAGTTCTCCAGTTCTTCACGCTTCTCAATCAGATGTCGTAACCGGTACTGTCGCTGACGTTGGTCGTGCCAAAGCTGGCTTTTGAAGATCTTGGAAACAACCTTCGGCACGGTATCCCAGGGGTAGTCCGCGTGGTCCATTCCGGGGAGTGCGACTTCCGAGAATCCGCATAAAGCACCTGATACGTAGACAGTCTGTTGATGCTTGGCCATCTGCGAAACTGCTACCGGGTCGGTGGTGCCAAATGTCAACTCGCATGTGCCGGCTTTGTTGTGTGCATTGAGTTGTTCCCAAAGCTTAATAGCCTGGATCGAGGAAGCTTCCGCTGGAGCGGGAATGGAAGCACGAAGCGCGGCTATAGTGCTTGCAGTGTATGGTCTGGCAACAAGGTCAGCTGAATTCGGTCACAGAGTAGATCTACTGCTTGAGTCATGCCGGAGAAACATACCGCTTCAAATGCGACTGCCTTGCAGAGCTCCATTGCTTTTCGATGGCAGCTACATCAGCTTTGAAAGCCTTCTGCTCATCTTGAACGGATATGTCGAGTTTTGGCATGATACTGAATGTAGAATAGGTTATTCGTATGGTCGTATAGCAATTCAGCTCGCAGATTTATGTATCTCAATCAACGAGGTGCTTCTGATCATTTATTCACAAACTGTCTCTTTCATCGCAGTGGCCCAAGCTCGGCGCGCGAGACGCGAAGCTAGCCTTGTCAGCCGGCAAATACAGGGTCTCTACTTTCCCCACTACAAGGCGGCGTGGAGCCCTCGTTCAATTCGCACTCTCGCACTTGCAAGTCCGACAGAGTCCGCTATCGGAAGACAAGCGAACGTTAGGACGGGTCCACTTTTGCGGTGCGGAGGCGCACGCCTGATCGCTTTGCGACTTCCAATTGTCATGTGTTCAGCGTGGCATGTTCAGGGTCTTTACTCGAATGTGTATCACTCAAGATTTAGTCATGTGTGGCATCTGCTGAAGAGCACGTGCCGGACCAATGAGGAAATAAGTCACAGATATGGCAATATGTTCGTGACGAATCTGTTCATTCAGATAAGCCTATAGTAATTACAAACTTCATGTCAAACTGTTCCCAGCCTGTGTGACATTCACCAGACGTATCGAAAGTGCACGTTTTGCTTGTCGGTCAAGTCGCGGAAGTCGGTATCTGCGTGCACCCTTCCACCCTTATCAGAGTCAATGCGGTCTCGCCTGCGGTTCTCATACCAGCAATACGTTGCATACATAGCGATGGTGATCATCGACAAGACGTAGCTTCCCAGCACAGCACCCATACCAAGCGGATATAGCGGTGCCTGGTCGGCCTTGAAGAATTGGGGTGCGATGATGTTGCTGATACAGTATGCGATAAAGACCAGCGCATTGACGGTTACTTTCTTCGTATGGCCCGCAGTGTTTGCCGTGTTGATACCGAGGGCAACGATATAGGGTCCGAGGTAGAAGTACGAGCAGTATAACGCTGCGAGACGCCCGTTGTAGTTGTCGAGAGGCAGAACGTATAGAAAGACTGCTGAGATCATGCCGACGATGATACCAAACATAACCCAAGCGGTACGTAATTGCTTGGCCGGAAGATACTTCGCAGTAAGGAATACCCCGCCATTGCAAACGTAGGACGCGACAGTCTGCAAGATACCCGTAGGCATTGTGAGGAGTGTCGAGCGCTGAGATGTGTAGCCGAGGCCTTTGATGATGAGAGGCGTGAAGTTCGTCAAACCTCCGTTCGGGACTAGGCGATATTAGTCCATACTTGGAAGGATGGCACATCAAGTTTACTTACTACTGATCCAAATGTGGAAGAAGAACATCAGCCACGTCTTGGGATCGAGAAATGCTTCAATCATCTGGTCCTTCTTGAACGTTTTGTTCTCAACTCCCGTCTGGTCTTGCCGGATCTTGTCAATCACGATGGCCTTTTGTCGCTCGGTGACGAACTTTGCCTTGACAGGATTGTCAGGCAAGAAAATGCCGATTACGCAAGCCCATACAATGGTCATTGCGCCTGTGATCCAGAACATAGCGCGCCATTGATGTTCGCCTGCTAGGAATCCAATACCGTATCCGATTGGACCAGTGAAGCACACAGAAAGACCCGTATACATCAAGCCGGTTCGAAGAGGTTGCTCACGTCGAGGGTACCACATGCTGATGATGAGGAAATTGCCAGGTACGATAGGAGCTTCGAGAGCCCCAAGAAGAACCCGGAGTGCGATTAGTGTAGGAAAGTTGTTGGCAAAACCCGTCGCAATGAGAATGCAGCCCCAGAGCAGTTGGACGACAAACATCAATTTGGCGATCGGAAAGCGCTGGAGGAGGCTGCCACTCGGTAGGCACCAAAACAGGTAACCAAACTACACGCATTGTCAGCACCCCAGAAGCGATGGTGGATAGGTTTACTTACGTAGAATGCACTACCAACCCAGCTGTATCTGTCTCCAGTCAAACCAGTATCAGCTCGGAAGCCGTACAAGGCCGCTGTAGCTGTCGTCACTTTGTCCATAGCGCCCAGCGTGATGTTGACTGATATGACTATTAGGGAGCGCTTCTCGTTATTTCACTTTGCAAGCACTCACACCAGAGCAATGGCACGAGACGCAGGTCTAGCTTCCACCGCAAGCGTGTCGCTTCTTTTCTTGTATACGCATTCTCCCCCGTGAGATGATGAGCATAGGCAGCCGCCACATCAACGTTGGCCGAGGCAACTTCTCCCATCTTCACAGAATGTGTGTCCTCGACGTCGGCGGACGACATAACTTTGCTATCGTCGGGCATGGTAGCAATGAGTGGGGTAAGAATGGAATGCAAAAAGAACTTTCCAATGGGTGTCTCGAACACCTGATTAGGTGCGTATTTTATACAAAACTAAGACAAAGAATCATATCAGTAATACCTATCTTGATATCTCGTTGAGTGTCGCTATCTCCAGCTAGACAGCGGCTGGACGGGATATGGAACGTCAGAGTCCAGCTCGATAGGACTAAGATTGCGCCCTTGACTCGCGAACGTTGTCGTTCTCCGCATTTTGGCGACGGCAACGATCAACCGGTTTGCATGCCCATGTTCGCTGCCTAGCGTCAAGGAATAAAGAGATGGTTCTTCGGACTCTCATGTCCGATGGTGGCACGGTGGGTCACGACCAATAGTGGGCTGTCAGGCCCTCACACCATGCCATGATAGAGCTAGTATGACTTCTGATACCCGACTGCTAGGATCCGTCTGTATAGACGATATGTGCCATGAGAAAACGGGCGATAGGAGCTTGCTCGAGGGGTGCTGCGCGTACGGATATGGCGTCCTGCAGCGGCGCAAATTGTCCGCCACCTTTCGTGCGCAGAATGTTATCGTCGACGCGTATCGCATGATGGATAACTTCAACCATTGTGAAAACGTCGTCACAGTGGTGGATCGAACATCACAGTAGGCGAGCCATGTGTGGTTGGAGACGTGGCAAATCGCGAGATAGTCGCGACAAACGTCAACCGCTTATCGGCGGCCATCACATGCATCGCCGAATGCGGGCATCCCGAAAGCGACATCCATAGAAGACAGATACATTGCTTGAGAAAACGTTATTCAGGAAGGATACATCAAACTAAAAGCTCTCACACTCAATTCGTGCAACCATGGCACGAAATCTACGCATCTGCATGCTTAATGCCGATGCACCGGTGCCCGTTGTTGCCGCCGAGCGCGCCCCCACCTATGGGCGTATCTTCCACCAACTTCTTTCCTCCGCAGCTGCCAACACGAAATTACCACGCCCGTCCTTGGACACTGTCATCAAGATCATATCTACGGACTTCGACGTGACGAAGAACGAATATCCCAACTCGATAGCAGATTTCGACGCTGTCATTATCTCGGGCTCCGCGAACTCGGCCTACGATGAGCTGCCCTGGATACGCAAACTCGCAAGATGGACGAAAGAAATATATGAGAAAGATCCCAGGGTGAAGATCTTCGGCAGCTGCTTCGGCCACCAATTGGTGTGTCAAGCTCTACTAGGAGATTATGGTGTGAAGGTGGAGAAGCATCCGGAAGGCTGGGAACTAGGGGTAAAAGAGATCACATTGCAACTGCAATTCTACAACGAATTCTTTGGAGATGAAGCAGGTGGGGAAGATAAAGATGGCAATAAGATGAAGCTACAGTTCGTGCATCACGACCACGTGGTTGTTCCACATGTAGAAGCGCTGCCGGGCTCCTGGACAACGCTGGGAAGAACTCAGCATTGCGCTAATCAGGGCATGTACGAACCTGGTCGTGTTCTCACGTTCCAGGGTCACTTCGAGTTCGATCGTTTCATCAACAGTGAGACAATCAAGTACTTCTTCCCGAATTGGCAACCCAAAGTCTTGGCAGAGACGCTTGATGCTATCGATGCGGATGACGATTCAGTGGCAGCAGCAGGAGTAGTTCTGAAGTTCTTCTTGGACGACAGTGCTAGAAAGCATGGTCAGTCACATACTGTCGTTGGGGGCCTACTCACGCCACCATCAAGAGAATGAGCTTGCATATTTACCACCGATCCGATATGTATCAACTACATATTGTAGATTTAGACCTACTTACTACCTTCCTTGATCAATGCACTTAATCTCTTAATACCTTCAAGAATCTCTACTTCGGTGTGCCATGCCCATGACAAACGTATGCCATTTCCATAGCCCTTTGCAGCACGAACGGCGGATGTAGCGTCTCCTTGCACTTGCATCATGTCCCCATATGCAAACTTTACATTGTATTTCTCCAAGCCTTTGGCAGCCAAATCAGCACCCTTTCCAACCAGACCTTCTGGTAACAGTAACCAAATGAAGTAGCCTCCAGCTTGCGCAGAAGACTCCTCAGGACTAGTGTCCGCGCCGCTCGCTTGGCCAGAATTCTCATTGTACGGCTTCCCAGTAGAGATAGTGACACCCAGCGGTACCAGAAAGTTTTCTATCCCTTCCAGCATAGCATAATAGCGAGCCCGAAACGTCGGAAGAACTTTGGTTTCAAGATGCTTGCGCAACAACCCAGACTCAAGCACCTCATGAACGAATGAAGCAGCCATGTGTGCGGGACAGCCTCCAGATCTAGTCGCACCCACTTGTGACAGTGCAAGCGTGAACGCAGGAGTCGCTTCTGCCCAGCCTACTCGTACACCCGGTGCTATGATCTTTGAGAACGAACCATTGCTCATAGCATTACCCCATTCATCTTTAGGGCCTCCTTCAAGCGTGCGATCGACGTCGACGATTCGGGGAGGTACGTCACCGAGGCTCTCATAGCTTCCATCTTTATCCACTGGCCAGCGTAGTATGTCGTACACATCGTCGGTAACCACGAGGGCATCAAATTCTCGTGCGAGGCGAATGAGTTGTTGTCTTCGCCGAAGCGACATGGTCTTCGCGCTTGGGTTCGAGAACGTCGGAACGCAATAGATGATGTGTCGATAAAGCTTTTTATATCTTTCACCCGTCTTTCGCATCGATGCAGCGTGTGTTGTCGATTGATCTGCCTCCTCAAGACTTCGTCGTAAGAACTCCACATCCAGCCCTTCATCGTCTTCCGGCACACCCTTCATCATCCCCTGGAACCCGTTGTCCATGAAGATAGGACATGCCAGAAAGTAGCATGGTTCAACCATCCAAATGTTTCGCGTGTAGCCTGGCTCAGTGAAGCGTGCCAGAACGTTGTCCAAGTTCCCCGATGCCCCGTTCGTGACACAGATGCGGTCGAACGAAAGTTCCGAACCGCGTCCGTACGTGGAAGTGAGCCATGCTGCGATAATGCGTCGAAGTGGTTCGTAGCCAGCATCCGGGCCGTAGATTAGTGAGGCTGCGGTTTTTGCTTGCGAGTTAAGTACGCTTGTCGCGCCGTCGAGAAGTTGAGCCGATGGAAAGAGTGACGGCGACGGCCACCCCAATTGCAGATTGATGCTTTCGGTCATATTGGTAGGACCCAGATGCGACAATGATGGTGGTCTTACAGGCAGATCACGGCGACGCTGCCATGAACAGCAGTCGAATCATTTTGCGACCTCGGCATGCGCGCTGCAACCCATGCTCATAATCGCATAGCCACTCAGCATTTGGTGGAGAGCGTGATATCGACCCCTGCCAATCTTTCGGACTCTGAGCTCCGATGGAGAGGAACGTCGGAACTTCGAAGGATTCACTGAGGGGTTCATTCGCGCCGCGCTAGTGAAGTATTAGCGTGTTTCCTGGGAAGGGATCGGCAATCGCGCGTCATCCTCATCCTGCCGGAATGCGCAGCAACTCCACCCTCAACGCGACGCGATAGGCATTACAAACCCGCACTGCCATGCCTTCGGAACGATATGCCCTGCGGCATCGGTGTCGTTACAGCCAATGGCGCGTGACGAAACAGCTGACCAGGCGATGCCTGTTTGGCGTGTTCATACCCTGATCTATTCACTGGCACGACGGTGGCTTACCTCAAATTCCTGGGACCTATAGGGACATACATCACGTTTAGACCACGAAACACTGCGTCTTATCTCTTCTTCGATACATCCTTTTTTGATCGTCCACCAAACATGCCGTTCGTTGAGCAGCCGCCGCAGGGTGCAGGCATCCGCATCGCTATAGATCGCGGTGGTACCTTCACAGACTGCTTGGGTATCGTACCAGGGAAACCAGATGTGCTAGTCAAGCTTCTGAGTAACGATCCGACTAACTATGCCGATGCACCCACAGAGGGTATTCGCAGGATACTTGAGCAGGCCTTGAACGTGTCCATACCACGCGGCGGCAAGATCGACACCAGCAACATCGAATCGATCAAGATGGGAACTACAGTCGCGACAAACGCCTTGTTGGAACGAAACTCCACAAAATGCGCGTTGGTTGTCACCAAAGGTTTCAGAGATCTACTACGCATAGGTGATCAGACCAGACCGAAGCTGTTTGACCTCAACATCCGAAGGCCTGAGACGTTGTTCGACGATGTACTAGAGATTGACGAGCGCGTCACACTTCACGATTCGACCGAGGACAAGTCAACACTACGAGACCCTGACCGCAACTCCTATGACCTGGAAAGGGGGGTGGGCGGCGAAGCCATTCGCGTTTTGCGACCAATTGGTTAGTAACTTGACGTGGAAGTAGCTTCCTAGCTGACACTTTAGTAGACAGCACACATGCCCGCGAAGGTCTCCAGGTCCTGTTCGACAAGGGCGTGCGGTCCTTGGCGATAACGCTCATCAACAGCTATACTTTCCCGAACCACGAGCTTCAGGTTGCCGATATCGCCAGAGACATCGGCTTCACGCAGATATCAGTCTCATCACAGATCTTTCCCATGATCAGAGCCATTTCGAGAGGCTACTCAGCAACAGCAGACGCGTACCTTACGCCTTTGACGCGCAATTACATCGACGGCTTTCGTGAAGGCTTCGTAGGCGGCCTGGAAGATACCAAGGGTGCTCGTTGCGAGTTCATGCAAAGTGATGGAGGACTAGTGGGGTGGCAGCACTTCAGCGGTCTCAAAGCTATCCTGTCAGGTCCGGCTGGAGGTGTTGTCGGATTCAGCAAGACATGTTTTGATGTACAGCGGAGGAAGCCAGTGATAGGATTCGACAGTAAGTCTAAAGCTCGCGAAACATGTCGGAAGTATGCTGACAATTACGCAGTGGGCGGAACCAGCACTGATGTTTCGCGGTATGCGGGAACACTGGAGCACACCTTTGAGTCAATCACGGCTGGTGTGACGATTCAATCTCCACAGCTAGAGATCGACACTGTTGCCGCCGGTGAGTAGCACTCGAATCAATGGATCTGGATAGTTACTAAAGTTTCTAGGCGGTGGAAGCATACTTTCCTATCGCAACGGTCTCTTCCTCGCAGGCCCCGAATCAGCAAGCGCCCATCCAGGCCCAGCAGCATACCGAAAAGGTGGACCTCTGACGGTTACAGATGCAAATCTTGTCTTGGGACGTTTGCAGGCTGAGTACTTTCCAAAGATCTTCGGCAAGCACGAGAATGAACCTCTGGATTATGAAGGCGCAAAGCGAGCTTTTGAAGAGTTACTCGTTACGGTCAACGCGGACCTGTCACAGACTAGCGGAAAGACGAAGACTGTCGAAGAGCTTGCTCTTGGCTTTTTGGAAGTTGCGAATGAGACAATGTGTCGGCCCATACGCTCTCTCACTGAAGCCAAGGGGCACCGAACCTCTGATCACGATCTTGCGGTCTTCGGTGGCGCAGGCGGACAAGCTGCCTGCGCTATTGCTGCTAACTTGGGCATCGACCGCATTTTGATTCACCGCTACTCTTCTATCTTGTCAGCATATGGCATGGCATTGGCAGACGTCGTTCGCGATGTTCAGGAGCCGTGCTCAGTATTGCTGAAGTCCTCATTCGATGAACTTGACGAAAGGCTGTCGTCGCTCGAGAAGTACGCGGCTGAACAACTGGCTAACGACGGGTTCTCTGGCCAAACAATCGGTTTCGAGCACTTTCTTAACCTCCGCTACGAAGGGTCTGACACAACCTTCATGGTTTCGCGCCCTGATCAAGGAACTTGGGACGACGCGTTCGTAGCTGAACACAAGCGCCAAGACATCCCGCTCAACGAAGGCTGTCTCCGTCCTCTCACCTTTACAATCCCACAAGGAAGTATCCTGAACCCCTCTCCATACGCCGCAGTATGCGCAGGAAACCCCATCACATCCCAACGCGTCACCGATGTCGTCATCCGCGCATTCGAAGCCTGTGCCGCGAGCCAAGGTGACTGCAACGTCTTCTCCTTCGGCATAAACGGCGACCACGACGACAACGGCACACCCATCCCCAACTCTGGCTTTGGCTTCGGAGAAACGATATGTGGAGGCAGTGGCGCAGGACCCGGTTGGCACGGCACTTCAGGCGTGCACATCCACATGACGAATACGCGTATCACAGACCCGGAGCTACTGGAGAAGCGTTACCCTGTGCTTCTTCGTGAGTTTAGTATACGTGATGGGTCGGGTGGAGAAGGGCGCTGGAATGGTGGAAATGGGATTCAGCGCGTGTATGAGTTCTACCGCGATATGAATGCTTCAATTGTTAGTGAGAGGCGGGTCACTAGGCCATATGGTATGCTTGGGGGTGAGGATGGCAGTAGTGGGGTAAATTATATTGTTAAGAAGGTTGGTGGGCGGTGGTGTAGGCTGGGTGGACGGAAGGACTTTTCTGTGCAGAAGGGAGATTGCTTTGTCATTGACACACCTGGTGGGGGCGGGTGGGGGATGAGGAATGAGGACGAGACAGGGGATGTGGGAAGTGCACCGAGATCGGCTGTGCAACGGAGGTTTGTTAGCCAATTTCAATTGGCGCAGGAAGCCAGCAACTAGACATGCAGTTGGATTATGAAGAGCGCGCGTCAAGGTAAACGTTTCCTAACAGAGACCATAAAGGTTTATGATTGGAGCTTGGCCCAGGTGGTTCGAGTGTGTGATCGATGCCACGGCTGATATCGTCGTTTCCATCTATGCATTGGCGAAGTCTTTTTATTTCCTCTTCTCCAATCTTCTGTATTCATTCATTTCTTCAGCGGCGGTAGCCTAGCGCGCTCACACGGTCATAGTTCCTTGTAACCCTATATCTTCAAGCGCACAAGCAGCGAACTTATTTACTTGCACCCACCCCACTGCTCTAGTACTGCCCCATCTCACTGCGACGCCTACCGGTCACAAGGTCCGCAACATGTCTGAATCAAAGCGATCGCGTACTGGGTAAGTCGTCCAAGCCAACCATGCTAACTCATTGAGTGCTCCATACTGATTTACTAAAGGCTCTTCAACAACCCTACCCTTTCCGACGTCAAGATCAAACAGACACACAAAGGTCAGACACGCGAATACTTTGCGCATAAGGCGGTGCTGTGTCAAGAGTCCGATTACTTTCTCAATACATTCACCGGTAACTTCAAGGTAGGTCAGCAAAGGCTCTGCTGATCTGGATGAGAGGATACACACTAACAATCTCCAGGAATCATCCGAAGCCACTATGGAACTACACGAAAACGACCCCGAATACTTTGAGTTCCTCCTCAAGTTCATCTACACCGGCGCGTACAACAAGCTCGAGATCGCGAAGCTTGCAGGCAATGACAAGAGTAAGCGCGTTCTTATTCCAATCGGCATTCACGCTGTCGCCGACAAGTACGACATCGCCAAGCTCTACGAGCCAGCTGCGGAAGATGTGAAGGCAGTACTTATGGAAGCTGTCAAAGACCTAGACATGCTCATCACTGCAATCCGCGCTCAATACGGTACTGAAGTCAACGTTGATGGGGCTATGGGACGTCTCGTAACTTCCGTTGTATTCGAAAAGCACAGCGACTTTGTCCGAACGAAAGATTTCGAGGGCTTACTCCTCGCGTATCCGACCTTTGCAGCAGATGCGGCGCTTCACTCTCAGCGCTGCAACGGATTTTGTAAAGGAAGCCTCCTTCAGTGCCGCTATTGCGATTGTCGGGTCGTTAATGCAGAGGCTGTGCTCAAGATGCGCAACTCAAGTTGGTGTTGTCCTAATTGTAGCAGGCCCAATGTTTTACCAGTACTGGGTGACAATTAAAGGCAACGAACAAGGCCCTCTGAGACAGGTGCAATCATGAGCCTGAAAACTATAGGCGCGAAAGCGTGGGAGCAATATGAAGGCTGCAATGAAGTCTTTCTGTACGGAGTCGGTGGTACATCCAGCGATTTTGCGTAAATGGAGCGTTGCCCCGTCTAGTCTAGTAAAGTTGGAAAGTCAGATCGAATGCATTCTCCACCGCACTTGCGCAATGCGCATCTTGTTTCCCGTGTGCACGAACACGACAAGCTTGCCTGAGTGTGCTACCAAGATAAAGTCTATCAATGATCGACTACGGCTTGGTTTTTGAACGTTGAAACTGTGCGATCTTGTGCTTCTCGCGATCTGAAAAGGTAGAACAGCGATTAGATACTGCAATGATGACGTCGGGGATGACATAGTGAGAGGGCGCACCTGTCATCAAAGTTTCTTTGACGACAATGTACGCTGCAGATACATGCTACTCTCTATAAATACGTGGTCAATGAACCTGGGTACCTAATCGATGTAGATTGATGTAGAGTACGTTTGCGATCTTCAAGAAATGACCGGCTTCCTGTGCTGGGCGCCCGGGATGAAGTACTGCGCGACGAGCACAACGCGACGTTGGTAAAGCACACGTCACCGATAGAAGGATAACACTGAACCCTTTGAGCTTCCAAGACGTAACGATAAAATTGAGAGTAGTACGCATAGAGTGATGACGAGTTCGTCTACGTAGTGATCCCATAATGCTTCACCATGAGCCGATCGTCCTCCATCCACTTCTCTATGACGAAATCTATCTCGTCTTCCACGCAACGATCTTGAAGCTCTCTCGGATAAACTATCTGCGACGATTGCGATTCTAAGATGTGTACTGCTTGAAGATTGGGCAATTGCACCAGGCCTCTTGCCAACTGCGCAGCAGCCTCTCTCGCCAACCACTTATGGTCATTCTCCTCGAAGAATTGTCCTGTTTGATCGTTGCTAAGGCCCAATAAGACGACGGAAGCGGGTAAATGGTCGATTATCTGCAAATTGTCTTCTTGAAAGTGAAAGTTTTCCAGGTCAGGGTCAACTTTTTCGGATGTTATCGTCAAAATTGCAGCAGGCACAATCAGAGTCTCGAGTCTGTCGAACTCCTTCAACGTGCCAGCTGCAAGTGTGTTGTAGGTGCCCACATTTCGTACTGTATGAGGACCGTTTCCCATAGACAAGTAAAGATATCGTAGCGTTTGTTTGCTTGGCATAAGGGCTTCGCAGATGCCCACGAAATCCAAATGTGTGATTTCATCCTCGCTCATGCGGTCGAATGCCATGTTAGCTGCTCTAAAGCGGAAATCCGAGAGTGACCGGCACGGTTGCAGGGTTCTAAACATCTGCTCCATTGTTATTTGGCAGTCAACGAGATGAAGGCTTTGCAAGTTTGCGAGCACTTCATCCCGGAATGGAGGGCGCTTGACAGACATCTGGAGAACACCAAGTATGTTTTTCGGATGATTATGCCGGTAATGACGCATTGCGGGAAGAGCCTCGAGTATCGAGATGCAGCTATCGTACGACTCAGGCTCTGGGTAAGCAGGATGTGCTACATCGTCATCTTCGTTGACTCCATCGATATTGATGGTGTCGAGTTTCGCGTATTTGTGGAAATTGGGTACGTTGGACGAAAGTTCGAGGCCGAGGATTCGGCTCAGCGGGCCGTCGTAGGTATAGAGGGTCAACTCTGATACGTTTGGACTCAACCAAAGCAAGAGCATTATCTGTGCTTGCGCTGGAGTATCATTGAACATTTTGGTCCAAAGATCGGCCATGTGAGAATTACTGAGACGTTCCACCATGGCAGGCTGGCCGGCATCGATTGCTTTCCTCATCGCGTTCTTGGTCCATAGACAGTCCTGCATCGCCCGACCTAGACCGTAGGTGCTGCGTATGTGTTTGATGTGTTTTGCGAGATGCGGACGCATATTGAGGGTGCGAAGGAGACATGTCAGTTAGCGAATAATGCCATGTTCAACATCGTAAGTCGATACCGCTTCTTTCAGCTCGTCCTCGTCTTTATCGTCTGGCTCGTCATGAAGATATGAGCGACCCACAATATGTACTGCTTCGTAAAGCAGAGGTTGTGCAGCCTCTAGGAGTCGACTTGATGTTACACATAGATCAAGCAAATCAGCTATTCCATCTTCGTCCTCTTCTTTCAGCTTGTCCACGACGGTCGTGGGGAGGAACCGAGTGTTCTGCGGAGATGACCAAAGATCTTCACCCGCAATTCGAGAGGTAATGTTGCGAGATTTGGGGCGGGTTCGTTTGAGCTAACCCACGACATGGTTGTATCGTCATCCATCATTGCGGCGAAGGGAGGTGTAGAGTTTGAGAAGCAATGCGTAGCAGTGAGGGGTTTTGTTTATTGTCTGGATACGAATGTCCCGTAGACGGGGCAACGTTTGTTTTCCCTAATTGTGGTGGAAATTGCTGACACGGCGAGACCTCGGGAGGCTGGTACGCGTGTCCGACGTGATCCGCTAAGGAATGTGTTCTCGGTATCTCCCCTCGTTACTAGGATCTGGCACCTGTCGAAGCGCAAGCGTGCAAACGCAGTCGTTGGAGACCTCATTGTGCGTCAGGCTATTCGGCCACGTATGCTGCCCATTTGGGCAGGTGGAGCATCGAGCCTACCTAGATACCAGGCTTTGCTGTCGTCACTCCAGGATAGCCAACATTGGCGAACGACAACTCGCCTATGTGTTGCAGCAGTGGATCGCGCATTGTTTGTTTTTGCAAATGGGTAACCATGTGTTGCTACTCGGAAATGCCAGGCTAGGTAAAGCTAATTTGGAAACGCGGGTGAACACGTTCGAGCTGCCGAGGTCAAGAGATATGACAGAACAAGATAGATCTCCAGCTCGAACAGCGCCTAGATGGGCAGATAGTCAGGTAGGCGCTCGAACATCGCGCGACATGAAGACCGACCCCGGATGACCTGGGACCTGAGTATCTGTGTCCAACGTCTTTCGCATCGTTTTCGCAGCGGTGAAGATGACATCGCACGATGTGGCATGTCTATGACCCCAAAAAGCGTTGATTGGCTTCGGTAGATCTTGCAAATGTAAGCATGCAACGAAGTCGCAACGGTCGGATTCCCAATGAGCAAGCAACACTATCACAATATCATCAAATTGACCTCAGATCATCTCCGCTGAACACCATTACGACTGCGCTGAAGTGCAAGTGCAGCAATTCGGGTGATACTGAACTCGGTGTAGAGGTGCCGCGTGATGCGTCGCATTCTCTTTTGAGTCGGACGATAGTGCCAGAAGATGGATATAAAAACAAGAAGAATGCGTGAAGATCATTCAAGCACAAGACAAACTCCCATTGCCTCCTCAAATACACTTTTCAGATCAACAAGTCCATCCAGACATCCGAATCCAATACCAACTGCACACGAACTCGTAAGTCTTCCAGGGCGTCGCAAAACCCCAAAACCTAACCAATCCCCCAACCAGTCCAGCCGCAACCATGAAGCCCATCACCACCCTCACAATCTTAATTGGCATCAGCGCCACCACCGCCACCGCCATCGCCGTCGAGCCCCTCGAAGAAGTCCATGCGCAAAGCTGCGCCAGCCGCGATTGGGGCTGTGAAGACGGCTATTGCTGGAAGAAGTGTGGCAACCTAGGAGAATGGTGCTGGCAAGCTGCAGATGCGGGCCAGGGCAGTTGGGTGACTTGCGAAAACGATGCGGCCTGCAATATAAACTTTATCCCTAGTGCTGGGTGTGGCGGCGCGTGCAGCTGCTGAGCACAAGAGAGGAAAGCGAATGAAGGCGGCTTCTCAACTCCGCTGTATTAGCCCACCACTCATTTGGGCTCTTGACTTTCAGGAAAGGTATCTAGATAGTGTTCGAGAACATCAATCACTTCTGCTTGGGGGCTTTTCGCACTACCGTTTCGCATCTTGTGTGCGTTTTCCTGCTTCTTTCTTGTAGCTACCGCTTTTCGATGCGCTCGGCTCTTGACGTGTAAACTCCAGTCGTTCTCGGTGATAGACGTCGTGCCGCATGTCTCGCAGACCTTCTTCTGCCAGAGGTCTGGTCGCTGGCCTAAATCGTACTCGCGCTTGGGTGTCAGCATTTCTGCTGCTGCTTGCGATAATGTCGAGGGTGAGGGAAGTGGTTGGCCGGAGAGGAATTGCTCGGTAATGGTGATGGCGGGTTTGACGACGTTGTCTTCCCACTGAGATATGTCGGAGCCGTCGACCAGGAAGGTGGTATTCTTCTGGCCTGCAGTGATCAGTGCGTTGAGAAGCTTAATGCGTATCCATTTGATCTGGCGATTGGCGTATTGACGGGTGGCTGCCTGTGTCTTCTCGATCGCGAGAATCTTAAGCTTTTCTAGTTCAGATGCCTCCCGCGAGCCACTTGAAAGAGCGCTTTGGTACTCTAGAAACTCTTTGTATCCTATTGATACCCAGATGCCGCGGCTCTGGTCGATACTGGCACCTGTGCCGGCTTCGTGCCGCTCACGGAAACTGCTGAGTTCTTCGACTTCAGAAAGCAAACCTCTGGCGATCATCTTATCAACACGGCCGTCAAGACGGCGATGCAGCACGTCTTTGTTTGCATGCACCCAGAACACGAGAGTTTCGAAACGAAGGCCTGACCGGGTATCCGATGTTGTGCCATCCGCTTGGGCAGCAGAGGCCTCGCGCTGCAGTTTCTGTTCTTTGTAAAGTTGCGAAGCTGGCTTGCCTGTTCTTAGGTATATCTCCAGTGAACGCTTGATTTTGCGCCGCTCATTCGGATGCCACCGATCGGCCATGATAGGATCGACTTCCCTGAGCTTGGTATGCAAGACATCAGTCGGCTCTTCCAGTATAGGCAGAGGCTGGGTGTTTTCACTCAGATTCAGCTCTGGCTCATCTGATAGCGCATCCTGAAATAGGAGTGACTGCGTATAGTAGTGAGTACCACCAACTAAGACCGGGAGTTTGCCTCTACTCCGGATTTCATCGATCTGGTCATGTCAGTAATTACCCGATTTGCACGCCAGTCAGTCGTACTGTTCTCAAAGCCTCGCCCACAAATTTCCCGACAGTCCAAGTCTCTTCTTCAAGGCTGATGCAGCCTAATAGATGATGAGGAACGCCTTTCGTCTCATCTTGCGTAATCTTGTTGGTAATGATGGGCAGCCCACGATACAGTTGCATTGCATCACCGTTGATGATCTCGCCATTATACTTTCGCGCGATTTCTACAGCCAGCTACCTGATGTGGTCAGCAAGATGAAGCGTGACTGAACAAAACGAGCTTTACATCAGATTTGCCAGTCCCTGTCGCACCGACAATGGTGATTAGAGGCTTTCGCGGCGTTTGCGCCATTTTGATACTCCTGAATGCCCTTGCGAATCGCAACATGCATTTCATTGCACGACTGGCGGGCTGCCAATGACTGAGTGTCCGAAATTGTTGGTTAGCGTGAAGCGGGGATGCGCCTTTCCGCTTTGGTACTAGCATAGTCTTTCAGCATTCCAAGGTTGGATCGATCAACTTGCAGTATCTCACTTCCCACGATCTGAGGTTTATAGATAGTCTTGTCTTGCGATGTGAGCGAAATCGTTGATGTTGAATACTGTGTTATTGACTCTTGCCGTACATGTGGATTGGATCGTGTACGAGCGAGTATCGCGTATAGCTATAGGCGAAATGTACGTGTAATGAAAAGTGTCTGTTGAACAAGATGGGGTATCATCGTTGAGTGCCGCCCAAACGCCTGTTGAAACTCCATCGACACGCATTGTTGAAGCGTGCCGAGATGTATTCTCCTTCACCACCCGGTGCTACTCCTTTTCCACCCTCTTCTCAGCGCCATAACCGCCCTTACCCTCCAGGTTTTGATACGACGCGCCCTCACCCTTGCCATTCCTAGGTCCCCTCTCCGTCAAATCTTCCTGCAGCCACTTCAACACCAGCTCACCCAGCTGACTATTTCCCGTGTACATGCGCTCGCCCTGCTCGACCTTGACATCCATGTCCTCGGTGCTACCCCACTTCTTGACCTTGCCCAGGCTCATGTGCACAAGATGTGTGGGCCATGTTGCAAGGTTATCCAGGATATGCGTCGCGTACACGATTGTGCAAGGTCGTTCCTCCGTCTCCTTCTTCAAGAAGTTGAGGAAGTTGCTGCGCGACAACAGATCGAGATCAACCGTGATCTCGTCCAGCAGCAGGATGGTCCATGGTCTCAGCAGACCCATGGCAAGTTGTACACGCCTCCTCTCGCCGTCTGATACTGCGTGCATGCGCCAGCTGAGGTCGATGTCGAGGATGCGCACGAGTTCGTCGCGGCGCTCGGTGTAGTGGTCGCCGCCGATGGAGGACAGAAGCGTGGGCACGTCGATGTCGGTACGGACGATGGGGTTGAGCACCCATTCCAGACCGAGGTAGGTCACGCCCTCAAGGCCCATCTTGAAAGGGTCGATGCCCGCGATGTGGACGGTGCCGGACGGGGCCATGCGCTTGCCGGAGAGAAGGCGGAGGAGCGTGGTTTTACCCGCGCCATTGGCTGGGATCGTTAGTCGAGACTCTCACAGCTAATATTTCATGTTGCATACCTCCGATCAAAAGTGTTCTGCTGCCGGGCGGCAGGTCAAGGAAGACATCTTTCAGCCCACTCGAGCCATCGGGGAAGGCATAGCAGAGGTTCTTCACGTCAATTGACGGCGCGACTTCCTTGCTGTTGGCTGTGTTCGACATTGTAGCGTGGGATTGCGTGTATAGTGGCTGTTACACCGGTGGTGGGAGGAGACTACATTTTGTACGTAGCTTACGGTGGAGTCACCTCGGTGGGCTAGACTTCCAAGTCGACATGAGTGATGCCATCATTCCGCTGGGGTCCGCACTAGGCCCGAATAGGCAGGCACCGTCCTAGACCCTGACGGCACTTCGTCTCAGCCTCAGCATTTT